TACCAGTGACTTTCATTGCATGAATGAAAAAAAAAACAGATGTTTCTCAAATCATCTTCTTTTATGTTCCATTTATGTTAGGCCGCTGTAGCCTAAATGTTTATGTGTAATAAATTTTATGTTAAATCAAATAAAATATTTCTTTCTAAAGCTACTATTTGTAATGTCTACTTAATACTTTCTCATTTAACACAAAAATAGCTTTAAATAATTTTTGGGGGTATTTTCAAAGCCAAATGTATCCAAATGTAATTTGCTATTAATTAGATTAATAATAATAATTATATAAATGTTTCATGGATGGCAAACTTTCTCAGTTCACTCACCATTGGCGAGTGTGGCAATAAGTTTATTCTGGATCTTGATAACAGCAGCACATAACATTCTCAAAAACTCTTAAGCCATTCATGAAATCCCATTATAAGTGTTTGCATTTGTAAAGGCCCGCGGCGGTACCCTGGTGCGGCGGCGTTCTCTCATGTGGCTGCGGGCGGGACTGGGGGCGCTGCTGGAAGACAGAGGGGGTCTAGCGTAGGAATGTAAACTGCTACTGCTGGAGAAGATGTGGACAGGAGAAGACCTGCAATGAAAATGCATCATCAGTACAGTCCGAGCTGTGCAATTTACATTCATGTGCAATTGTATAAATGCCAGGATTTCCTGACCGGTTGTGTGGGGCGTTTTGGAGCAGGGGGCTTTGAGGGCTAGTGGCGATGTTGGCCAGCTCGGTCAGCCAGTTTGTGTGTGAAACGTTGCCCTCAGGCCTGGAGCTCCGGCCTTCGACGGGCCCCTCCTCATGATGCGACACACCCGGGGCCACCTGGAACACACCCGGGGTCGACTGGTCATCCTGCACCTCCTGCAGCTCAGGCAGGTCATCTGCAGAGACCGAAACTGTCATTGCAAATAGTATTTGAAATCAAAAACCCTTTCAGAAGAAAACATGAGTGGTAAATCTAATTACCGTACTCCATGTGACTCTCGTTAGAAGGGCAGCCAGGTGAGGAGGGCAGGCGCTCATTGCATTTAAGCAGATCGAAGGCCTCATCCATACCTGAGCTCTGTGTCTGGACTTCCTGGACTCTCTGAGGGACCGACTGAGTTTTCACTTCCCATACCATATTATAACATGTCAGCTGGGCAGGCTGTGAATGCAAGAGAAGCGTTAAAGTGAAAGCAAAACGGGTAGGTGATTTCCAAACCAGCTTACTTGCACAGGTTTTACTTTGTATGCATTTGTATTGAATGAATGAATGAATGAGGGACAACAGAAGTAAACACTGGAACAACAAATGTTCTGTTGGGTAGCCTGTTGTGCAATATGTTCTTGGCCACTGTTCGATCACGTTGAGCACTGGTAACATTCATTTCACAATTAAACGAGAGCCATCAAGGCTCGCATCCTTAATAAAGCAAATGTCGTCGCGTTTTGTTTGAGGCCCGTTTCTGTGAAGCGTGGTCACGTGACCCGCATTGCACGCAAGGCTTGTTTATAAACTTTCTGGGACTTGGCGCATGCGCAGCGCAGCTCATTCATTCATAACTGCGTAACAACGGGGGATCAATAACAGCGATAGATTGCGCTAGAAAATCCTCCACAACTTTTGAGAATCGCCGATGGAAGTCCCCCCGTTCGATCCGATCGAAGATACGTCCGTGTTTATGAGCGGAAAGCTTTATTTGTGGCCATTTTTGGTTTCAGTTTTTCCACACAGGAAGAAAATACGATTTTTCTGCACTCGCGAACAAACAAAAGCAAAACAGACGGAAGTGCATAGATGTTTTGGTTTATAACTGATATTTTACCACGAATATTGTCGTTGTTAAAGCTGAACACGAGAACAATAACTTCAATACGGCTGTTGCAACAATACGAAGGTCTTTGTTTGAATAAAAATCGCCAAATACTCATTAACAACTGCGGTATTTAATCAAACCACATCTTATACAGACCTCCCAGCTCTCAGATGTTTGATCGACGTAGAATAATGAAGATAAATGCTTAAAAATGAACCTTTAATGTCAACAGTGGGAGCTGTAAACAAAAGAATGTCAACAAGTTGAAACACGGTACATCAAGTCCTTCCTTTCATTGATCGAAACAATGAATGACAGTCTTTTTGCTCCCCGCGGCCTCAACCGTCACCGTCTAAAATAGCCACGCAAAATAAAGTTCATTGACATTACCGTTTCGTTTCGTGGTAATATTTCAACAACTTTTTTTTTTACTTACCAAACCTGTCGCCATTACCGAGTATCTCTGGCATTCTCCGCGAAGGCAGGACTCATGTTTTGGTTTATAACTGATATTTTACCACGAATATTGTCGTTGTTAAAGCTGAACACGAGAACAACAACTTCAATACGGCTGTTGCAACAATACGAAGGTCTTTGTTTGAATAAAAATCGCCAAATACTCATTAACAACTGCGGTATTTAATCAAACCACATCTTATACAGACCTCCCAGCTCTCAGATGTTTGATCGACGTAGAATAATGAAGATAAATGCTTAAAAATGAACCTTTAATGTCAACAGTGGGAGCTGTAAACAAAAGAATGTCAACAAGTTGAAACACGGTACATCAAGTCCTTCCTTTCATTGATCGAAACAATGAATGACAGTCTTTTTGCTCCCCGCGGCCTCAACCGTCACCGTCTAAAATAGCCACGCAAAATAAAGTTCATTGACATTACCGTTTCGTTTCGTGGTAATATCAACAACTTTTTTTACTTACCAAACCTGTCGCCATTACCGAGTATCTCTGGCATTCTCCGCGAAGGCAGGACTGATACTTTTAGATCCGGCCTCCCATTGGTGGAGACGCACGTCAGTTTGGTGAGCTCGAAGCGTGATTGGCTAGTCGCTCGCACACTGGGTTAGACATGGATGGGTTTGTTATTGTGTTTGTGATTGGCCAGTTCTGCATGCCCGTTACATCAGCCGTGAATCTCATTGGTTGAGAGGGATTTTTTTTTTTAATGAAAGACCCTCCCGCTTTGTTAAATGGGGGATGATGTATGTATTGTCTTAAGACGTTGTAAACAAACCTAAAACAACATTGGTCCTTGCATGATTTGGGTTATATTACTGCTCATTAAACGTGAAATAGCTGATGGTTGGCCGCAAGTACTAGTTATGGACCCAAATAATTATATAAAAATATCACATCTGAGCAAGTTTAATTTTTAATGGCCTTTCTATTTCTAATGTTACTCCGTGAGCCAACACATGCATCATGACATATGCATATTATGCATGAATGAAAATGAATCATTTGTAGCATAGGACTTGGCTGTAATAATCACAAATGATTTTTAAATACAAAATTGTTCTTTATTTGAATGGAAAGTCAAATATAACTGACGGTATAGTACTGGGCTCTCTTGCACCAAGAGACTGTAGACCTTTTGATCCATTTTCAGGACATAAAAAGCATTAGCGACTTCTCAATTAGGCGGCAGAAATTCACACAGAAATGAGCACTGATTGGCAATTAAAAGTCTTTTGAACAGGGTAGAAATGGTGTAAAGTTACACTGACACACAGATATGGTTTAGGGATTCACTACAGGCTAGTTTACCAACAGACAAACCTGTGGGGATCTACATGGGAAGAGGTGATGATGGCTAAGCTGTTCATATTAGAGGTAGACGGTAATGAATTCAGTAATGTTTTAGGAAGAAATGGCTACTACTAGTAATGCATATGACTTGCTGTGAAGCAAAAGATCCAATCAACAAGGACAAACTTTTCATACATCAAGAGACAGAGAAAAACGGTGTCCAAATACTGCAGAAATTAAGAATAAAGCAAGTGTTTTTAAGAATATTATCAAAATGCCAAAAGCTACCAGAAACAAAGTAAACGTAACTCAAAAATATACACCGGAAAACAGAGGAATCATTCAGACTTTTTCAGAGAGAGTAAATGTCGTTGGTAACTTTGAGCATCTAGAAAATGAATGTGAACGTACAATTTGTGCATGTTGAATGCATCTTAATTCATTGTGAAATGCTTTGAAGAAATTGAAGATGTGAACAAATTCATAAAAAATGTGCTACACCGTTTTAAAACTGAAGATACACAATGCCTACATTTACTATTCTTATGTGACGGTGAGGAGTTTCTCTAAAAGATTGTGCAAAAACAAGGAATTGAAAACATGTAGCGCTGTGCAACCTCAAGTTCACCCAGAAATGAACATTTGCTGAAAATGTATGCACCCTCAGGTCATCCAAGATGTAGATGAGTTTGCTTCTTCATCAGATTTGGAGAAATATAGCATTACATCACTTGTTCACCATTGGATCCTCTGCAGTGAATGGGTGCCGTCAGAATGAGAGTCCAAACAGCTGATAAAAACACCACAATAATCCACAAGTAATACATCTGATTTAGATTAGATTTTTTTTGGACTCTCATTCTGACGGCATCCATTCACTGCAGAGGATCCAATGGTGAACAAGTGATGTAATGCTATATTTCTCCAAATCTGATGAAGAAGCAAACTCCTCTACATCTTGGATGGCCTGAGGATGAGTACATTTTCATTTCTGGGTGAGCTATTCCATTAAATTAGGTATTTCCATTACACTGGCATCAAAGTGCAATGATACTCAGACCGCATTTTCATTTTTATAAGTAATCGAGTCTGTGCATCTCCATCTCCTTTTCTCATATCGTATTCTCAAGCAATTTGAAAGTTTACTAACTCATGGAAATGTAATGAAACTTGAGTATAAAAGTCAACGTGAAACAATTGGCAACTCATTTTACTTCTGTAATCTGAAGTAGTTATGAGTTAAATGGGATATTCAACAAGAAAAAAATAGGTAGGACCTGATTTTATTCATCAGAATTGATTGGGTGGTTTAAAAAATGGGTGTTTCATACTACAATACATTTATAACTTCATCTGAAAACAAATTTTTGATGTTTTAGATGCAATGCTAAAAATGTTTGAGGCATTACAATTTTTAATACAAACTTTTATTTATTATTAATGTGCTCTAAGTAAATGTTAAATTTAGTTTTCATGTTGACTTTAAACTCTGGCATGTAGTCCATAATTCATTAAGTAACTGTTCACATTTTTTGTAACGGGCGTCATCAAGATGCAATTCATGAAGCTCAGATGCAGAATTCATGTTTAGTCAAAAATAGTGGCTCGCAGTAAAAATGACTTGCATAACACTGAAAACATTGACAAATGCTCAACAGCAGATTTAAAAATTCAGAAGTATAGCTTTAAAAGAATAAATTAACATATTACTGTGCTGTATATGGCATAACAATGCAGTCTTTGTGTGGACGTCACTGTAAAAGATGCAGCATGTGAAAGAAACACAAACCAAGTTTAAAAAACGAGAACAATTTCGATAAACACACTGGTACCAAATCCCCAAACTAAAAAACCATGAGGAATCTCCCATAAACCTTGAGAACCCTGGAGGAAAGCACTCACATTTGGCTTTTCACATCTAAAAAAAACTATTATCATTGACACACCGGAGTTTCACATCTGTGAATGCAAAACAATAACTTCAAGCTTATGACCTACAGTATGTTAACATGATTTCTTGACCATGATGACAGGCCTCTACTTACCATTTTCTCATCGTTTCACATTGCATTTTAAGTTTGCGATGTTTTTGATTAATTGATTTCATGCATTCGGCTCCTCTATTGCGATGTGACTCTTGAAGAGCGTGATCAGCTGCTCCTCATAATTGGCTATGTTTCGTTTCATGATGTCCATGCAGGGGCCTAATAACCTCTCAAACGCCTGCACGTCCATTACTGTGGAGCACAAGGTGAATGATCACATGACCCGCCGTGCAGCTGCGATGCATTGTTATATGTGACCCTGGACCACAAAACCAGTCATAAGGGTCAATTTTTCGAAATTGAGATTTATACATCACACAAAAGCTGAATAAATGAGCGTTCCATTGATCTATGGTTTGTTAGGCTAGGACGATATTTGGCCGAGATGCAACTATTTGAAAATCTGGAATCTGAGGGTGCAAAAAAATCTAAATATTGAGAAAATCGCCTTTAAAGTTGTCCAAATGAAGTTCTTAGCAATGCATATTACTAATGAAAAATTAAGTTGATATATTTACAGTAGGAAATTAATGAAATATCTTCATGGAACGTGATCTTTACTTAATATCCTAATGATTTTTGGCATAAAAGAAAAATCTATAATTTTGACCCATACAATGTATTTTTGGCTATTTCTACAAATATACCCCAGCGACTTAAGACTGCTTTTGTGCTGCAGGGTCACATATCATTTATAATGCATTACCTAAGCATTTGACGTTGTCCATGGCATATGCAGAAGCTGCCCGTGGCTTGTTAGTGACGAGCGCCAACTCTCCAAAATACTGGCCTCTAGAGCATGTGGCGATTTCCACCTCCTCGTCTTCAGTGTCATTTTTCGACTAAAAAAACACAATGTCACGTAAATGCACGTGAATCTTTTAAAGCTGAAGGATTTATTGGTTTATTAAAGGGATAGTTCACCCAAAAATGAAAAGTCTGTTATTAATTACTCACCCATATGTCGTTCTAAACCCGTAAGACCTCCGTTCATCTTCGGAACACAGATTAAGATATTTTTGATGGAATCTGAGAGCTCTCTGAACCTCCATAGACAGCAACGCAACTGAAATGTTCCCAGGTCCAGAAACGTAGCAAGGAGATCTGTAAAATAATCCATGTGACATCAGTGGCTCGACCGCAAGTATACGAAGCTACAAGAATACTTTGTGCGCAAAAAAAACACGACTTTATTCATCAATTAGTCTCCTCCGCGTCACCGTAGTACCATTTTGAAGAATATCCGCTGGACGTAAACAGCGTATGCTGTTCTGTGTCAGCTGTGTCACATGGATACACTGTTTTCGTTCAGATCAAATCACAACAACGTAGGAAACCGATCCGGCGTGACGCAGCTGACACAGAACAGCATACACTGTTTACGTCCAGCGGATATTCTCCAAAATGGCGCTACAGGGGGATGCGGAGGAGACGAATTGATGTATAAAGTCATGGTTTTCATAGCTTCGTATAATTGCGGTTGAACCCCTGATGTCACATGGATTATTTTACAGATCTCCTTGCTATGTTTCTGTCTGGGAACATTTCAGTTGCGTTGCTGTCTATGGAGGTTCAGAGAGCTCTCAGATTCCATCAAAAATATCTTAATTTGTGTTCCGAAGATGAACGGAGGTCTTACGGGTTTGAATTTGGGTGAACTAACCCTTTAAGATGCATAATGAACCGAATTGTGCTGATTCTTTGTAAAAGCAAACATGTTTGACTCACTTTGCTCCTCTTCATAGTGATCTTAACGTGTCCTGACTCTACGATGTAGAAACAATCTGCCAAATCACCCTGTGAAAACAAGGTAGCAGTTTGGGGTCAGTAAGATTTTTCATATTTTTGAAAGAAGTCTTTTCTGCTCACCAAGGCTGCATTTATGTGATCAAAAATACAGTAATATTGTGAAATATTTTTATAATTTAAAATTACTGTTTTCTATTGGAATATATTGTAAAATGTAATTTATTCCTGTAATCAAAGCTGAATTTTTAGCATCATTACTCCAGTCTTCAGTGTCACATGTTCATTCAGATATCGTTCTAATATGCTGATTTGCTGTTTAATAAACCTTTATTATTAGTAGTAATAGAATACAACACAGAAAACAGCATTTATGTGAAATGGACAAATAAATCACTTTATAAATGTATTTTAATAATTAACCCTTGCTGAATAAAATAATTTCTTATAAAAAATCTAACATATATTATATTTAGTGCTGTCAAACGATTAATCTCGATTAATCGCATCTAAAATAAAAGTTTGTTTGCATAATATGTGTACTGTGTTTATTTATTGTGTGTGTATATATAAATACAAACACATTCATGCATATATTTTGAAAATATTTACGTGTGTGTATGTGTGTATATATATATATATGTAATTTAAATTATAAATATATTTAATAAATATATTTTTCTGAAATATATACGTGTGTGTGTGTGTGTGTGTGTGTATATATATATATATATATATATATATATATCACATCTAAAAAAAACTATTATCATTGACACACCGGAGTTTCACATCTGTGAATGCAAAACAATAACTTCAAGCTTATGACCTACAGTATGTTAACATGATTTCTTGACCATGATGACAGGCCTCTACTTACCATTTTCTCATCGTTTCACATTGCATTTTAAGTTTGCGATGTTTTTGATTAATTGATTTCATGCATTCGGCTCCTCTATTGCGATGTGACTCTTGAAGAGCGTGATCAGCTGCTCCTCATAATTGGCTATGTTTCGTTTCATGATGTCCATGCAGGGGCCTAATAACCTCTCAAACGCCTGCACGTCCATTACTGTGGAGCACAAGGTGAATGATCACATGACCCGCCGTGCAGCTGCGATGCATTGTTATATGTGACCCTGGACCACAAAACCAGTCATAAGGGTCAATTTTTCGAAATTGAGATTTATACATCACACAAAAGCTGAATAAATGAGCGTTCCATTGATCTATGGTTTGTTAGGCTAGGACGATATTTGGCCGAGATGCAACTATTTGAAAATCTGGAATCTGAGGGTGCAAAAAAATCTAAATATTGAGAAAATCGCCTTTAAAGTTGTCCAAATGAAGTTCTTAGCAATGCATATTACTAATGAAAAATTAAGTTGATATATTTACAGTAGGAAATTAATGAAATATCTTCATGGAACGTGATCTTTACTTAATATCCTAATGATTTTTGGCATAAAAGAAAAATCTATAATTTTGACCCATACAATGTATTTTTGGCTATTTCTACAAATATACCCCAGCGACTTAAGACTGCTTTTGTGCTGCAGGGTCACATATCATTTATAATGCATTACCTAAGCATTTGACGTTGTCCATGGCATATGCAGAAGCTGCCCGTGGCTTGTTAGTGACGAGCGCCAACTCTCCAAAATACTGGCCTCTAGAGCATGTGGCGATTTCCACCTCCTCGTCTTCAGTGTCATTTTTCGACTAAAAAAACACAATGTCACGTAAATGCACGTGAATCTTTTAAAGCTGAAGGATTTATTGGTTTATTAAAGGGATAGTTCACCCAAAAATGAAAAGTCTGTTATTAATTACTCACCCATATGTCGTTCTAAACCCGTAAGACCTCCGTTCATCTTCGGAACACAGATTAAGATATTTTTGATGGAATCTGAGAGCTCTCTGAACCTCCATAGACAGCAACGCAACTGAAATGTTCCCAGGTCCAGAAACGTAGCAAGGAGATCTGTAAAATAATCCATGTGACATCAGTGGCTCGACCGCAAGTATACGAAGCTACAAGAATACTTTGTGCGCAAAAAAAACACGACTTTATTCATCAATTAGTCTCCTCCGCGTCACCGTAGTACCATTTTGAAGAATATCCGCTGGACGTAAACAGCGTATGCTGTTCTGTGTCAGCTGTGTCACATGGATACACTGTTTTCGTTCAGATCAAATCACAACAACGTAGGAAACCGATCCGGCGTGACGCAGCTGACACAGAACAGCATACACTGTTTACGTCCAGCGGATATTCTCCAAAATGGCGCTACAGGGGGATGCGGAGGAGACGAATTGATGTATAAAGTCATGGTTTTCATAGCTTCGTATAATTGCGGTTGAACCCCTGATGTCACATGGATTATTTTACAGATCTCCTTGCTATGTTTCTGTCTGGGAACATTTCAGTTGCGTTGCTGTCTATGGAGGTTCAGAGAGCTCTCAGATTCCATCAAAAATATCTTAATTTGTGTTCCGAAGATGAACGGAGGTCTTACGGGTTTGAATTTGGGTGAACTAACCCTTTAAGATGCATAATGAACCGAATTGTGCTGATTCTTTGTAAAAGCAAACATGTTTGACTCACTTTGCTCCTCTTCATAGTGATCTTAACGTGTCCTGACTCTACGATGTAGAAACAATCTGCCAAATCACCCTGTGAAAACAAGGTAGCAGTTTGGGGTCAGTAAGATTTTTCATATTTTTGAAAGAAGTCTTTTCTGCTCACCAAGGCTGCATTTATGTGATCAAAAATACAGTAATATTGTGAAATATTTTTATAATTTAAAATTACTGTTTTCTATTGGAATATATTGTAAAATGTAATTTATTCCTGTAATCAAAGCTGAATTTTTAGCATCATTACTCCAGTCTTCAGTGTCACATGTTCATTCAGATATCGTTCTAATATGCTGATTTGCTGTTTAATAAACCTTTATTATTAGTAGTAATAGAATACAACACAGAAAACAGCATTTATGTGAAATGGACAAATAAATCACTTTATAAATGTATTTTAATAATTAACCCTTGCTGAATAAAATAATTTCTTATAAAAAATCTAACATATATTATATTTAGTGCTGTCAAACGATTAATCTCGATTAATCGCATCTAAAATAAAAGTTTGTTTGCATAATATGTGTACTGTGTTTATTTATTGTGTGTGTATATATAAATACAAACACATTCATGCATATATTTTGAAAATATTTACGTGTGTGTATGTGTGTATATATATATATATGTAATTTAAATTATAAATATATTTAATAAATATATTTTTCTGAAATATATACGTGTGTGTGTGTGTGTGTGTGTGTATATATATATATATATATATATATATATATCATGGTTTTCATAGCTTCGTATAATTGCGGTTGAACCCCTGATGTCACATGGATTATTTTACAGATCTCCTTGCTATGTTTCTGTCTGGGAACATTTCAGTTGCGTTGCTGTCTATGGAGGTTCAGAGAGCTCTCAGATTCCATCAAAAATATCTTAATTTGTGTTCCGAAGATGAACGGAGGTCTTACGGGTTTGAATTTGGGTGAACTAACCCTTTAAGATGCATAATGAACCGAATTGTGCTGATTCTTTGTAAAAGCAAACATGTTTGACTCACTTTGCTCCTCTTCATAGTGATCTTAACGTGTCCTGACTCTACGATGTAGAAACAATCTGCCAAATCACCCTGTGAAAACAAGGTAGCAGTTTGGGGTCAGTAAGATTTTTCATATTTTTGAAAGAAGTCTTTTCTGCTCACCAAGGCTGCATTTATGTGATCAAAAATACAGTAATATTGTGAAATATTTTTATAATTTAAAATTACTGTTTTCTATTGGAATATATTGTAAAATGTAATTTATTCCTGTAATCAAAGCTGAATTTTTAGCATCATTACTCCAGTCTTCAGTGTCACATGTTCATTCAGATATCGTTCTAATATGCTGATTTGCTGTTTAATAAACCTTTATTATTAGTAGTAATAGAATACAACACAGAAAACAGCATTTATGTGAAATGGACAAATAAATCACTTTATAAATGTATTTTAATAATTAACCCTTGCTGAATAAAATAATTTCTTATAAAAAATCTAACATATATTATATTTAGTGCTGTCAAACGATTAATCTCGATTAATCGCATCTAAAATAAAAGTTTGTTTGCATAATATGTGTACTGTGTTTATTTATTGTGTGTGTATATATAAATACAAACACATTCATGCATATATTTTGAAAATATTTACGTGTGTGTATGTGTGTATATATATATATATGTAATTTAAATTATAAATATATTTAATAAATATATTTTTCTGAAATATATACGTGTGTGTGTGTGTGTGTGTGTGTATATATATATATATATATATATATATATACACACATATATTATGTAAACAAACTTTTATTTTGGATGCGATTAATCGTTTGACAGCACTATTGTATTAACATTATTATAAGAGATGAACCATTAATTCAAAGTTTTCAATTTTTTTTTGTAATAAAAAAAACAACTGTTACAAATTGTATAGAGTTTGTACTCCCAAATTGTACTCAATCTGATTAAATATATTAGTGCTGAGCATAACTATATGCTTAGGACTAATATAAACTAAAAATAAATGTCTAGGCCTTTACATTTCCAGGTTTTTCATGACTGTAGGAACCCATAATAATTACTTAAAAAATCTGTCAAAACTGTCTAACCTGAGCAATGATCTGTTCTCCACTGTTGTACACTTTAGTTGACAAGACATCAACAACTTTCATTCTCTCTGAAACCTGAAAACAAGAGACACATTTATTTATAAAATCAACAAGAGAACTGCACATGCAGACAAAAACTCACATCACAAAATGCAGATAGCATGTTGGTAGAAGTTGCAAGATGAATGCAAAAGTGTGTGTTCAAACCTCCAGTGACGTGAGCAGAGGAAGAGTCCCGATGAAAGCCTCGTACATTTTTCTTTTCTTTGCGTTGTTCTTTAAGAGGATCCTTCTGAATGTCAACCGATCCTAGAGACATTTACGCAAAAAAATAATAAAATAATATTTTACACTCAAGAGAGATTGAATCTTTAAAGTCATATAATCTCAGTATTTTCTATGAAAATCAGAGGGCGCTCTAACACAAACAATATATGAGATGCTCTTGGAGAAATAAACAAGATATATAGCATCTAATTTTACTGTGAACTTAAATACCAGGTTGTTTTTTGCTGAAACCAGTTTAGAAAATGATGCGTTGAATTCATGCAACTGCAAAATCATTCATATATATATATATATATATATATATATATATTTTTTTTTTTTTTGGGGGGGGGGGGGGTTTTCCCAGAAAAAAGGGGGGGGGTGGGGTTTCCTCAGAAGAAAGAGTCGTAGGACTTTGGACCGTTATGGGTGAGTAAATGATTGTGATATTTTAGATTTATTTTTGTTATTACTAGTATAGTTTGTTAATATTTTGAATTGTTTTATTTTTATTATTTATGTTTTCATTATAGTTAAAATTGTTGTGTTATTGTCTTTTATTTCCTTTATTACTTTCAAATATTAGTTTTAATTATTTTAGTACTTTAAACGTAAATGAGAAATGTCGCCTTGGCAAGTAGCTGAAATAATGCATAAAAAAAAATTCTCAGTTAATGTTTTTTATTTCACAATTTTTTTTTTTATGGTTTTAATTATGAAAGCTCATTTCTGCCACAAAATTTAAAAAAAAATAATAATAGGTAATTGCGACTCTCTCGCATTCTAACTTTTTTTTTTCTGAGTTTATATCTCACAATTCAGTTGTTTGTTTTCTCAGAACTGCGAGATATACGTAAGGTCAGAATTGTGAGAAAGTAAGTCATGAGATTCTAACTTTCAGAATCGAGAGATACAAAGTCACATCCACCTTTTTTTTTATTTTTTTTTTTAAATAATCCGGGGAGGAAACTGGCTTCCATAGTTAATAATCATGGTGAATGATGACAGAAATGACTCACGAGGCACCACAGGGCTCCAGGTGAGGTAGCGATGATGGTGGCGGCCCTCGGCGTGTTGTACATGAGGGCCAGCTCTCCAAAACTCCCACGGTTGTCATAAGAGCCCACCGTCCGTGTGGTGCCGTCCGCTTTCAACATGATGTCAAACGTTCCTCTGCGCAAGAAACACAACAAGATATCGACGTCTGAGAGGTTTAAACACCAGCGTCGAGATCCAAAGATGAATCCGTTATACCTCTCAATGACGTAGAAGTTGTCGCCATCGTCGTCTTGATCGATGATGTGCTCTCCGGTCACCACTACCTTCTCAAATATGGCATCCAAGACTTGTGACATCTGCTCCTGTTGGTTTGGAGGGCAAAATATGAGCCTTTCTTGTCTTAAAGGGGAGAGTTCAGCTAAAATGTATTTTTATTTCTTCTGTCAAATGTAAAAGGAGATTTCAGGTAAATAACTGCACACATTTGGGTTTGTTCCCTGTGTTATTATAGTAAACTAAAACCATAAAAAAATATTACTTGAAACAGAATACATTTAACTGAAAAAAAAATACTAAAATAAAAATTAATAAATTTTAATAAAGAGTTATGTTTAAATAAAGTAAAATGACAAACTTTAACAAATTAAAATGAAAATAAAATATAAAAAACAAATTTTAACTTAATTACTCTATTAGTGTCTCAAATTATAAATAATTATAACTACAACTAAAACTTAAAAAAATGTTTTATTTGAAATAAAGTTGGAATAAAATATAAGTATTAAAAAATGACAAATGCTGCCTTGGCTGCTAACTTAAATAAAAACGAAACTAAAACTGATATAACACTGACATAAAAATAATATAAACGTAAACTTTAATATTAAACAAAAGAAGGAAGAAAAAACTCATAAAAATGACAAAAGCACATAACAAAGCTACTACAAATTCAAACTGAAACTGGCCTAAATAGTAATATTAAAAAAAAAACTTTTTAACATTTAAAATGGAACCTGAAAATATGCAAATAAAAACTAATTCAAAAATATTAATAAAAACTTTAAAATAACACCGGTTTGGAAGAACATTAAAAATATATACTGTACATATAAAATCTGGAACATTACAATGACAATATTTTTTGTATTTTTATAGAATTGTTAAATTTTTTTTAGCATTTTTGTTTTTTTTCAGTAGCCTCTAGCACAGGAACTAAACAAACCATCGATGTTAATCTTAATGGTTGCCTGAAAACAAATAAGCTAAAACTTGCATTTTATTCTCTCAGAAACGGTTGATAATCTTACCTGGTCCAGGTTTTTGAACAGTAGGATGTCTTTGCAGGCTTCCTGTAGCCTCTGTCTCTGCTCGTCTGTTTTGGGGTGAGTGACCTGAAGGCACAGCAAAGCATGATGGGATACCGTGCAGCAGATGCCACAGAAATGCATAAAAGAGGAGGGACTCTCTGTCGCAGTTCTCGAATTTAAAATGGAACCTGAAAATATGCAAATAAAAACTAATTCAAAAATATTAATAAAAACTTTAAAATAACACCGGTTTGGAAGAACATTAAAAATATATACTGTACATATAAAATCTGGAACATTACAATGACAATATTTTTTGTATTTTTATAGAATTGTTAAAATTTTTTTAGCATTTTTGTTTTTTTTCAGTAGCCTCTAGCACAGGAACTAAACAAACCATCGATGTTAATCTTAATGGTTGCCTGAAAACAAATAAGCTAAAACTTGCATTTTATTCTCTCAGAAACGGTTGATAATCTTACCTGGTCCAGGTTTTTGAACAGTAGGATGTCTTTGCAGGCTTCCTGTAGCCTCTGTCTCTGCTCGTCTGTTTTGGGGTGAGTGACCTGAAGGCACAGCAAAGCATGATGGGATACCGTGCAGCAGATGCCACAGAAATGCATAAAAGAGGAGGGACTCTCTGTCGCAGTTCTCGAGAGACCACTCACCCTGGGTTCTCTCTCCTCTTCATCCTCATCAGGGTTGTACGCCTCCGCACAAACTGTCCCGAGACCAATGAATTCAGTAAATCGGAAGCAGGATTAGAGTCGAACACAAATAAAACCAACCTGTCTAGACAACGCATTACTGCGCAATTAAAATACAGCGCTTTGTGCAACCTGTTAAAATAAAAACAAGCCATTTTATCAGCATCTGAATCTTAATGTCTACTTTCAAACACTGTTCTATTGGATTCAATAATAACTTATTGAAGTCTAAGTGGACGTCCATGACATGCGGAGTCCCACAAGGCTCAATTCTTGCACCGCTCTTGTTTAGCCTGTATATGCTTCCACTAAGTCAAATAATGAGAAGGAACCAAATCGCCTATCACAGCAATGCAGATGATACCCTGATTTACCTAGCCTTATCTCCAAATGACTACAGCCCCACTGACTCCCTCTGCCAATGCATTGACGAAATTAACAGTTGGATGTGCGAGAACTTTCTTCAGTTAAACAACTTTAAATCATTTTCAAATTCCTTGTTTTATTGTTGTGATTTTATTTATTTTTTCTTTTCTTTTATGTAAAGCACTTTACCATTACCATTGTGTATGAAATGTGCTATACAAATAAACTTGCCTTGCCTTGGATTGTTTAAATGGTTCATTTTCAAATTCCTTGTTTTATTGTTGTGATTTTTTTTCTTTTTCTTTTCTTTTATGTAAAGCACTTTACCATTACCATTGTGTATGAAATGTGCTATACAAATAAACTTGCCTTGCCTTGGATTGTTTAAATGGTTAAAAACACATACAATTACAATACTCATCCTTAGGTTGTTCCAGACCTTTATGACTTTTTTAATTTTTTAGTGAAACATAAAAGGAGATGATTAGTAGATTGTCCAAGCTACTCTTTTACAAACTTGAAAATATAGTGTCAATTTAAGAGCTATAAAAGAAGGGTTTTCAGTGAATAATAACTTAAATTTGGGTCTAATCAAATCAAATCTAAAATTAGAAATGTTGCTTTAACTGCTAACTGTAATAAGTAAAAATTAATTATAAATATAAAATAACCTAAACACTTAATATAAAAAAAAACTAAATTACAAAAAATGAAGACGAATAAATTGAACCTAAAAATTAAGATTAAAACTGACATTAAATAAATGAAACCTAAATAATAATATTTAAAATAATGAAATGACAAAAGCACATACAATTCTAAAAATGAAAACTAAAACTGTAATAAAAATAAATTAAACCCAAATAGTAATATTCTAAAAAATATATATATAAGTAACATGACAAAAGCTGAAATGAAAAAACAACTGAAAATGAAAAAAATTTTTTGTAAATTGAACCTAATGGTAAAGAAATGACAAAAGCACATACAATTCTAAAAATGAAAACTAAAACTGTAATAAAAATAAATTAAACCCAAATAGTAATATTCTAAAAAATATATATATAAGTAACATGACAAAAGCTGAAATGAAAAAACAACTGAAAATGAAAAAAATTTTTTTTAAATTGAACCTAATGGTAAAGAAATGACAAAAGCACAAAACAAAATTACTAAAAATGAAACTGAAATATAAACATAAATAATAATATTGAAAATGAAATGATAAAAGCACATAAAAAATGTATACTAAAACTGAAATAATAATAAATTTATCCTAAATGGTTATATTTACAAAAATGCTAATAACAAAAGCACAAAACAAATTACACAAAAAGAAAACTAAAACTGACATAAATTACACCTAAATTGTAATATTTAACAGAAAACAAATGACAAAACACTTACAATTCCTAAAAATAGAAACTAAAACTGGAATAAATATAAATTAAACCTAAACAGTAGTTTAAAAAAAACTAATAAAATTACAAAAGCACATAACAAAAATACAAAAGATTAACCTAAAATTAAAAAAACAGAAAATATCAAATTAAAGCTACTTCAAGATGATAATCAATACAGTTCAAGAGTTGTATAAGCTACTTTTATCTTGCTTTATTTCATTGTATGGAAAACAGAAGCTCAGATGATCTCCTTTTATGTTCTACAGGAGAAAGAACGTCATCCGGGTTTCAAAACAACACGAGGGTGAGTGAATGTGTAAACTTTCATTTTTCGATGAACTATTCGAGAAATGTTTGCGGGAAATCTGTTCCAAGCGCTTGCAGCGCTGCTCTCTGCCTGTGTTACGCATGCAGCGAGAGAGATGAGAGGATCGGCTGCTCTCCTCTCCCACACGCCTCCACTATTCCTGCTATAAATACCAGCGCAGAGATGACAAGACCAGGACTCCACCGTCTCGATCCATACTCCACTCGCAGACCTGAAGTACAGGAACTGTCTAGACTGATCTAGCTCACAGCTCTAGACTGTTTACATCAATCCGGGGCCTGTTTCACAACATTTGGTCCTTAATTTCAAGTATTCAGCTCATCTGATCTGCTACAAAAATCACAGAAATTGTGTTTTGTCTACGTTTCTCTATGTACAGCATTCACTATCATTCAAAAGATTGGGGTTGGTAAGATTTTTTTTTAAACTCTCTTAGAGTTTTAGACTCTTATGCTTACCAGGGCTCCATTTATTTGACCAAATATACAGTAAAAACGGTAATATCATGAAATATATATTTTAAATTTGAATATATTGTGATGCAAAGCTGAATTTTCAGCATCATTACTCCAGTCTTCAGTGTCACATGATCTTCAGAAATCATTCTAATTTGCTGCTCAAGAAACATTTCTGATTATTATCAATGTTGAAAACACTCATATTTTTGTGGAAGCCATGATACATTTTTTCAGGATTCTTTCATGAATGGAAAGTAAAAAAAAACCAGCATTTATTTGAAATAGAAATCTTTCGTAACAATACGTCTTCACTATCAATTTTTTATCAATTTAATGCGTCCTTTCCAAATGAAAGTATTAATTTCTTTAAAAAAAAATACCTTACTGACCCCGAACGTTTAGTGCAAGTCTACATTTTATGTCATTCTTGATCACATCTGGTCTGATCTGAGCGGAGTTCAAACCTGACATGAAATAAACCAGATGGGGAACAACGTTTAACACTGAGTTTATAGAAGCCTTTTTCCATTACAATAAAGTGCCTGACAGATATATGTTCGGGACAATTTATCTACAGTATCACATCAATATAAGGACTGAATATGCTCCTCTTCCTGACACTATAAACTCATTTCTTTTTAATTGACCACCAAACTTCTACTTTTCCCCATTACTATCAGACTTCATTTCCTATTTCAGTCCGGTCTGTCAGCACAACACATTAAAATCCCTCCATCCGTCCTCACTTGTGGTTTCTAGCGATCCACGAGAGACAGAACTTCACAGCATCTAAAACACTTTATTTCTGCAAACAAAGCTGATCTGCCATTAGCCAATTAAACCATTAGCTCTCTCATTCACTCAGTGAGAGCAGTAAAGGAGTAAATGATATGTTAACAAGACAAAAGGCACTACAAGCACAAATGCAAGGTCATTAACCAGAACCAGATGTTCAGTAAGATGGGGATTTGAAGCAAACTGCCTAGAAGTTAAAGAAATGGTTCACCCAAAAAGGAACAATTTGCTGAGAATGTACTCACGCTTAGGCCTTTCAAGATGTAGATGAGTTTGTTTCTTCGTCAGGTTTGGAGAAATGTAGCAGTACATCTCTTGTTCACCAATGGATGTGAATGGGTGCCGTCAGAATGAGAGTCCAAACAGCTGATAAAAACATCACAATAATCCACACCACTCCAGTCCATCAGTTAACATCTAGTGAAGCCAAAAGCTGTGTGTTTGTAAGAAACAAATCCATCATTAAGGCATTTTAACTTTAAACCATCACTTCTGGTCAAAATACAAGTCTATAATTCAAAATAACGCTTCCTGCAGTGAAAAAGTCCATCTTCTGTTGTCCTCTCACATTAAAATCACACAACATATTTGTGTAAAACAGTGTTGGACTGTTTTCTCTTGTAAACGGTGCTTGATCTGTGCAGATTTCGCTCCTGATTCAGACGAGACGACTTTTTTACTGGAGAAAACAATATTATGGATTATGGACTCGTATTTTCCCCGGAAGCAACGGTTTGAAGTTAAAAACATCTTAATGATGGATTTGTTTCTTACAAACACACAGCTTTTCTCTTCACAAGACATTAACTGATGGACTGGAGTGGTGTGGATCACTTGTGATGTTTTTATCAGCTGTTTGGACTCTCATTCTGACGGCACCCATTCACTGCAGAGGATCCATTGGTTGAGCAAGTGATGCAATGCTACATTTCTCCAAATCTGATGAAGAAACAAACCCGTCTACATCTTGGATGGCCTGAGGCTGAGTACATTTTCAGCAATTTTATATTTTGGCTGAACTTTTCTTTTTGTTCTCTTTGGCCACAAAATCAGGTTCAACAATAAATTACTAGTATGTAAGAAACCATATAAATCTTCATAGAAAGCACTTATGCAGATGTGATGAATGCACCGGATTGAATTTACTCAATTTTGTTTAGTTTTTCTTTTCAGGAACCCGATAATGAATTCAGATGCACCTGAAAATATAAAAAGGTACAAAAGCTGTCACAGGGGCGGTACCTTTTCAAAAGGCACACCTTTGTACCCGACGAGTCCATATTAGTACCTAACGTGTACATATTAGTACTTAAAAGGTACAAAAGTGTGCCTTTTGAAAAGGTACCGCCCCAGTGACAACTTTTGTACCTTTTTTTTCTGAGAGTGTAGGAGTTGGTAATCATATTACTGAAACCGACTCCTTTACTACTCGTGAACTGCATTGCCGGAAATCGACAAACTCACCAGAAGCTCTCCGGACAAATCTGTTGATAACCGGAGCTGAAAGGAAAGAAAGAAAAATTACTCATAATGCATTACAATAAAATGGAATATTAATGCCTATAAAATATTCAATTCAAAATGCCACAGTATTGGCCTAATGGATCCGTTCTCTCTCAGGAATAATCTTTCTTCCTGACCAAAATCAAAACGTTTGCCTCATAATTGATACTCCCTCTGAATGACACACACTTCATCATCATCACATCTTCATGGAAATACAAAGCATTTGCATGCAAAAAAAAAAACAATACAGGAAAAGGCCTAGTGCTAATATTTTGTCCTAATGCACACACGGCCTTGTATACTTTTTTTTATGAATAAAGACCAGAGCTTCTATAAGAAATGCAATTAAATTAGAACATTTAGATGACAACAGCGGGAAGTGCAATAACAAAAATATCATTTAAAGCCATTTAAGCTTGGTCTTTTGTTCCAACCCCCATCTGCAGTGAGCTGACCACTCAATTTTTGACGGAAAAAAATGAACCAGTGAACAAAAGACCAGGATTGTTGTGCATCCATTATGAAGGATGTCTGTATAAACGGTGATCTAGCTGATGTGATGGACGCATCGCAATGAATGCAGGAAGAACGCACGCACGCACGAATGCATTACCTACGAATTCTTCTTCATCGTCCTCGTCCTCTCCGTTTTCGGAGTCGATCTGCATGGCCTCCTCGATGAAGTTGACGGCTTTCCCCGCTCGCGCGGCTGAGTTGTGCTCATTGCCGAACGCGCCGCCGCGGCTCTCGTTCTCCTTGAGACGCGTGAAGTACTGCAGCGCGAACTCCAGCAGGTCCCCCGGCTGGTTCCTGAGGACCTCCACGGTAAAGCTCTGCAGAAGCTCCGTCAAGCCCTCGGGGATTTCTATACTCATTTCCCGACGGTGAAATGTGCGCAAAATTCGGCCCGATCTTGCGCGTAACGTTAACAGCAGTCGGTCCCGTTTCGCCGCGTCAGCTGAGGAGAATGATGCGCAAACGCGTCAGAGGCAACGCGACGGATTTCTCACTATTCCTCCATCTGCGTCTGTTTTCTCTCTTTTTTTGTTGCGCTGCTGGCTACAGGATAGCCGCGCATGTGATGCGGGAAACCATGGCAACCGGCAACCTGGGGTTTGCGCAGGAGGAACGCGGACGCGACGCGACGAGCTAGAACGCAACGCGAGCTCTTAAATAATCACTGCGATTGCACCAGGGTATTATGACGTTTTGGGACACGTACTATGGTATTACTATAGTATTATTTGAACTCGCTACATTGGAGTGCATGTAAATATGGCACAGGACTATGTGAATATGGAAATCATTCAGGACAATGGTAAGGAATACCGGGGCTAGTTGTCACACCTTTTTCCTCATTTAAATATATTTCTCAAGATTTATTGAAAGTCAACTTAAGTAGGCTACAGAAACAAACTTGACTACTAAAAATAAATTGAATTACAAAATGGAAAAGGCAACAAAAAATATCAAAACCCTCATTTTGCCCATGGTATTACTATAGTATTCATTGAAATCGCTACATTGGAGTGTAACTTTATGTAAATATGGCACAGGACTATGTGAATATGGAAATCATTCAGGACAATGGTAGGGAAGACCGGGGCTAGTTGTCACATATTTTTTTTTCGCGTTTAAATATATTTCTCAAGATTTATTTAGTCACCTTAAGCTACATAAACAAACTTGACTACTAAAATAAATAAATAAATAAAAATAAATTGAACATAAGTTTTAGAAGTTAGAAAGAGCTTTATTACCAAGTTACACACAGGAGCTTCCAGTGCAGAAGAAAGTATGGACATACATGAAAGTATAAGACTTAATATAAGAAAAACAGAAAATTAAATACAGACGTAGAAGTGTAGAAAAAAGTTTTAATTGTTTAAATGAATGTACAGACATGTTATTAACAAGTGTGCAGTTTACGATGTATACATTTCGAATTCTATGTATATGTCAGTTATGACAGAAAATAAATTATGAAATTACAAAATGGAAAAGGTGAAAAATCAATCAAACCCTCATTTTGTCCATCGGAAACTTAAATAAAATAATTTAATATAAAATATATATTTTTATAAATATTATATAAACTAAAGTGACAATAAACAGTATGTATGTGTATATAAATACTATATAAAATTATGATATAGTATGAATCTACCCCAGCCTGACTTTTATGAAAAATGATAACTAGCCCCGGTCTCCTCTAATATATACAGTAACCATCTCTGTACATAAAACTGCATCATATAATACAGATTCAAGACAATGCAGAAGATGATATGAGGCAAAACGTTGTATATTCATTTGAGCCTCTTCAAAGTGACGCTTTCAAAAATAATTAAGTTAATGGATAAACAGACACCTCAGGCAGAATTAGACTAAATGGGCTGCTGGTTAATCCTATTTTGACTACAAATATGAGCTGATTATGTTGAGATTATTAAGCATGAATACATTTTAAAATTGGAGAGTATCAGAGTTTGACCTTCTGGGAACAATGAGATTGTTGTTATATAAAGGTGCGAGGCCTGAGTAGAGTAGAGTAGAGTAGAGTAGAGTAGAGTAGGGTAGAGTAGAGTAGAGTAGGGTAGGGTAGAGTAGAGTAGGGTAGGGTAGAGTAGGGTAGAGTAGAGTAGAGTAGGAGAACAGAATATTAAAATAACTTTTGGGAAACAAAAGAATGTGATGGAGACTTTGATATTAATGACAGTCAGAGCACAAAAATCACGGCAACCTTTTTACACTGCCCTCAGCAGTGAAATATTTCAGTATTGTAAGTCACATTTAAAAAAAATAAAGATATGTTGTATTTTTGATAATCAACTGTACAGCTAACATCTAGAATGCCATCTGCTGGTCACTGGGTGGACGGACACTCACAAATAGAATCAGATAAGAGCCAAGGTGCCAACAAAGAGCAAAAGGTGTCAAAAAAGAGCAGTCTTATTAAATGTAGATCATTTTTAAAGACGATCATTTCACATTGACATTATTTCAACAATAAAACAGAAGAAGCTATTATATTTATAAATAAGGGAACTATTTCCTTAAATGTCTTACCAATGTTTCCTTCTTTACTGGAGCTGTTAAGCACAAAGAAAATTAAGTAAATAAACAGATCATTCAATATTATATGAATCTACTTATATTTAATTATTGATCAGTTATTATTGAGGATGTATTCTTTTAAATTTGTAAACAATAATGCCTATAATCTTTCACTGATCATGGCTTTTGAAAGGTTAAAAACTCGACATTCATTTCACCTCTGAAACATCAAGATTACAGTTTTTATCCAGCAGTTTTGCAAAAACACTATCTTTGAAATTAAAAATGGCAAAGTTCAGCTAGTGCAAAGGGCATGGGTTTGATTTTGGCATTAGTGGGGACATAATGGCAGACAACAATTGTTTGATCAAAATTACTGCGAGGGACAATCTAGTAGTCGATGGATATTGGTATAGGGACACGTCATAGCGTCTCTACTAAATTCTAAGCCTTTGAAAATCATAACAAGCGATGTCTGACTTTGGAAATTTTTCTTTGGATTGTTTGACTACTTGAAAGAGAATATAGGAAAATATAACATAATTCATTTGTGTTTCCTACTAGCTAGATTTCACATAAATAAACAAAAATCTGGTTCTAAACCTCTCTTTTCTTTATTTAAAGTTGATCTAGACAAGTACATGGAAACTATCCAAAGTTCTGTTAATCCTGAAGCAGTCAAAGCTGCATCTCTATATTCATCCTATGTGTCATTTTAAGATAAAAACATGGTTACTATAGTAAAACAATGGTAACCACAAATTAACCAAGGTTTTGCTACAGTTTAACCATGGTATTTGTAGTAAAACTCGTTATGCAAAAAAAAAAAAAAACCATGGTTACTATACTTTAGCCTATAATAAAACCATGGTTAAAAGTGATTTGTATTTACTCCGAAGTCCCGATACATGCTTGGAGGTCCCGATCTGAATCAAAAGATTCCCGAACCATCATTTTAGATCATTCAATTTGCGAAATTATTTGCGAATCCGCTCCGAAGTTCTGATCTGAATCAAATGATTCAGAATCAGAATCAGAATGAGCTTTATTGCCAGGTATGTTTACACATACGAGGAATTTGTTTTCGTGACAGAAGCTTCCACAGTGTAACAGAATGACAGTGACGGAACAAAAAACACAGAACAAGTAAATAAGGAATAAAAATATACAAATCGACAATTGTATGTACAGGTATATTATGTGCAAATTGAAATGTAGACTGAGCGTGTGTGTTAGATAAATAAGTGTATGAGTGAATAAATAGTGTGTGTTCCACAGTTATTGTCAAGTGTTCATGAGATGGATGGCCTGAGGGAAGAAATTGTTCCAGTGTCTGGTCGTTCTGGAGCTCAGAGCTCTGTAGCGTCGACCAGATGGAAACAGTTCAAAGAGGGAGTGTGCTGGATGTGAGGGGT